ACGTCATATCTCCCGCGGAGCTATTATTTGAAATATTAAAAAAAAAATCATCGAAAAATTTTCGATTTTCGCACCGACCTCGATTTTGAAAAAAAAAAACGTGATGATTAGGAAGTTCATATCTCCGCGCGGAGTTATGTCGTTTTGGAACGTCATATCTGCGCGCGGAGCTATTACCCGAGATATTAAAAAAAAAAATTTCGTACCGACCTCGATTTTGCAAAAAATCCTTATGATTTGGAAGGTCATATCTCCGCGCGGAGTTCTGTCGTTTTGGAACGTAATTGAATTTACGAACGAATCGGTTTTCTGTCAATAACATTTTTCAACCCATCGATGATTAATTTGTTTGAATGCCAATTGATGGTAGGGATCCGTACGCATTTAAAAAGGTATATAACATTTTAAAATCAGACATTATTTACCCGATATATTAAGAAAAATCATCGAAAAAGTTCAGATTTTCGCACCGACCTCGATTTTAAAAAAAATCGTGATAATTTGGAAGGTCATATTCCCGCGGAGTTATGTCGTTTTGGAACGTCATATCTCCGCGCGGAGTTATGTCGTTTTGGAACGTCATATCTCCGCGCCGAGCTACTACCCGAGTTATTAAAAAAAAAAATTTCGTACCGACCACGATTTTGCAAAAAATCCTTATGATTTGGAAGGTCATATCTTCGCGCGGAGTTATGTCGTTATGGAACGTCGTATCTCCGCGCGGAGCTAATACCCGAGATATTAAAAAAAATCATCGAAAAAGTTTCGATTTTCGCACCGACCTCGATTTTGAAAAAAAAACGTGATGATTAGGAAGTTCATATCTCCGCGCGGAGTTATGGCGTTTTGGAACGTCATATCTCCGCGCGGAGCTATTACCCGAGATATTAAAAGAAATCATCGAAAAAGTTTCGATTTTCGCACCGTCCTCGATTTTGCAAAAAATCGTTATGATTTGGAAGGTCATATATCCGCGCGGAGTTCTGTCGTTTTGAAACGTCATATCTCCCGCGGAGCTATTACTCGAGATATTAAAAAAAAATCATCGAAAAATTTTCGATTTTCACACCGACCTCGATTTTAAAAAAAAAACCCGATGATTAGGAAGTTCATATCTCCGCGCGGAGTTATGTCGTTTTGGAACGTCATATCTCCGCGCGGAGCTATTACCCACGATATTAAAAAAAATTTTCGCACCGACCTCGATTTTGCAAAAAATCCTTATGATTTGGAAGGTCATATCTCCGCGCGGAGTTATGTCGTTTTGGAACGTCATATCTCCGCGCGGAGCTATTAAAAAAAAATATTATCGAAAAATTTTCGATTTTCCCACCGACCTCGATTTAGAAAAAAAGAAAAAACGTGATGATTAGGAAGTTCATATCTCCGCGCGGAGTTGTGTCGTTTAGGAACGTCATATCTCCCGCGGAGCTATTACTTGAGATATTAAAAAAAAATCATCGAAACATTTTCGATTTTGAAAAAAAAAAAACGTGATGATTAGGAAGTTCATATCTCCGCGCGGAGTTATGTCGTTTTGGAACGTCATATCTCCGCGCGGAGCTATTACCCACGATATTAAAAAAAAATTTCGCACCGACCTCGATTTTGCAAAAAATCCTTATGATTTGGAAGGTCATATCTCCGCGCGGAGTTATGTCGTTTTGGAACGTCATATCTCCGCGCGGAGCTATTAAAAAAAATATTATCGAAAAATTTTCGATTTTCCCACCGACCTCGATTTAGAAAAAAAGAAAAAACGTGATGATTAGGAAGTTCATATCTCCGCGCGGAGTTATGTCGTTTTGAAACGTCATATCTCCCGCGGAGCTATTACTTGCGATATTAAAAAAAAATCATCAACAAATTTTCGATTTTCGCGCCGACCTCGATTTAAAAAAAAAAAAAAATAATTGATGATTAGGAAGTTCATATCTCCGCGCGGAGTTATGTCGTTTTGGAACGTCATATCTCCGCGCGGAGCTATTACCCGAGATATTAAAAAAAATCATCAACAAATTTTCGATTTTTGCACCGACCTCGATTTTGAAAAAGTTGAATTTACGAACGAATCCGTTTTTTGTCAACAACATTTCTCATCAAATCGATGATTAATTTGTTTGAATGCCAATTGATGGTAGGGATCCGTACGCATTCAAAAAGGTATAACATTTTAAAATCAGACATTATTTACCCGATATATTAAGAAAAATCATCGAAAAAGTTTCGATTTTCGCACCGACCTCGATTTTGAAAAAAATCGTGATAATTTGGAAGGTCATATCCGCGCGGAGTTATGTCGTTTTGGAACGTCATATCTCCGCGCGGAGCTATTGCCCGAGATATTAAAAAAATCATCGAAATAGTTTCGATTTTCGCACCGACCTCGATTTTGAAAAATATCGTGATAATTTGGTAGGTCATATCCGCGCGGAGCTATGTCGTTTTGGAACATCATATCTCCGCGCGGAGATATTACCCGAGATATTAAAAAAAATCAATAACCATGGTGTTAAAATGCGAAGTAGACGCGCATAAATGTGTGTTTGTACATGTATACAGAAATTCTTAAAGATGCTGCTCTATTCAATTGCGCAGTTGTATATAACTTTGGTTTTTTTTAACCGATCTATATGAAATTGTCTACAGTATATCTTATTGTATTATAAAATATTTGTGTATACTGAACAAGTCAATTGCATTTAAATTTTGGCTTAAATTGGTTGGCAATAAAAGTTGGGTTATTAACTTGATTTATAGCTATGGGGAGGTAGCGGAGAGGTGGCGAAAGATATAAAATGAAAGATACTTGACAAATATATAATATTTTCGAAGCAACATATCATGTCTCATGACTCTAGCTTTTATTATTTACCCAAATTGCCCAAAAAACAGGATATCGATATCTATTTTTATCGATTGCTTGAACACGGAGTAAGTTATCGATTATCGGAAATAAACTCGATCTGCGCAGGCACTAGGTTCACCTACATCTAAAATTTCAAGTCTATAACTCTTATATGTTCTGAGATCTTTGCGTTCATACATACGAACGGATGGACAGACAGACGGACATGGCTAGATCGACTCGGCTATTGATGGTGATCAAGAATAAATATACTTTATGGGGTCGGAGATGCTTCCTTCTGCCTGTTACATACATTTGGATTTTGCACAAATACAATATATATATATTTTTAATGGGTTCAGAGTATAAAAATAAAAAGAAAGTCGAGTGGAGACTTTTCACTCCCTATTTCGCATTGAAAAAACTCTAAATATGCTTCTAAATAATTAATCAGAATTCGACACGTAAACAGGGTTTGAACCAAGAGTTTCAATTCTTCAATATTCGGATATTAATAAAAAAATTGTTTGCCCTGAAATAATACGTATATAAACTAAGGCAACACATCCCGTTATCATGGGATGGTGAAGTCCATTATGGTCTCCTGTAAAGGTATTTAATGACATTTTTAGATATTCCGGCTATTTTCACATTGTCTACTAAATTATTTGCATTAAGCTCGCCCTCAAGAACAGCTGAACCTAATGACGCAGTGGCTGATTTAAATGCATTAAAAGGTAAGCACAGTCACGGACACGTTTTCTCATTTAAGATACATTAACCACACACATACAGAGCTACACAGCCACACACTTACATACATGTAGAACCTAACCGCACACACGTTAAGGACCTAACACAAGTGAGCTACATGTTCGCATGCCTGGTGAGCTTTTAAATTAAATCACAAAACACAGATAGAGTCAGTAGGGCGACCGGAGCAAGGACTAAACCAAATAAATGAACCCTTTTGGGCATACTCCTTGATGTCCTTGCGAGCGCCCTTCTTGCTTAAGGCAGATAAAAGGCAGGACAGGAAGTCAACTTGCCAGCCGGACGATGACGATGGCGATGACAGCGAAGCCTCGTGTTTTGCTTGGCAATTCGGTTGCCAGGACAGCCAGAAAGGATAATGGCATAAAATCCAGCAAAATGAAAAGAAAGCGGCAAATCATGTTAAGAGATTTAAATTGGATTAGGCGACGTGTGTGGTTGTGCGGGTGTCAACTCGCGCTAGCCGTGAAACCATTTCCACTGCGGGCCAGAACAGCCGCCCGCTCGTCTTGACATCAATTTTGTCACTTGATGTTTTTTACATTTTTTATGCAGCTATCTTGTTTTGTTTTCTACTTTATTTTGTTTTGTTTTGTATGCTTGACACAATTCGTCCTCGTCAAGAGCACATGGCTGAGTGTCTCTCAAGTGTTCGATGGCATTCATCCTATCTGCTCTTTAACAGCCGTCGCAGCATAACGTCATGTATTTAAACGTCTGTTGCTGAATGGAGACACAGAAGTCAGTTTAGGTTTTTGAATCGCGCGACCTGTCTAAGGCTCTGCCCACCATGGTATCAAGTGGCGAGATCTTTATTTAAAATGTATGAATTGTAAGTGCTTTTAAAGACTCTCTTTCGACGTCAATAATTATATCAGTTAAAATGTATATCAAATATTTACAATTCTGTATATTTCACAGTCCAAAGGTCACACAACGGCCCATCAGGGCTTCCTTAATTTCTTCAACCCGTCGAATCGAAAACGTTTCATATGCTGATTTGCTTTCAGCTGTTTCGTTCGTGTTGCTGACATCTTGGGATAAAACAGCTTAGAACTTTGATTTCTTTGGGTGCCACTGGTAATGAAGGAGCTTTAATTAAGGTCAGACTTTTATTTGCAATTGAAACAAATCTAAGTGTAGCCTACATCAATATAAAACATAATTCTGGAACTATGGTTAACAGGTTATTGATTTATTATTATAAATATCTTACAGATTTTGAAAAACCCAAATCAGACAAGATTTATCGATTGCGGATAATTCACTCCGCTCGGTGAAAAGGGCAGCTAAGTGTGGTACCAGACAATTACGAAGCGAGAAACATGGCAAAAAAAAAAAATACCCGTCTGTACATGAATAATATAAAAATGCAGACTTTGGAGAAATCTTCTACAATTCTTGTATATTAATTTTTTTTTGTTGGGTGTTGCCTTGGCTTAGTTTGATTTCGATGCGCCTTATATATGTTCAATGCTGCGCTATTGGAAAGCATCTTTGGTGGTTCCTTCTTTCTATACTTTACCCTGGAGGTGTAGACGTCGTAGCCCAGACTTATGGTGTTGTCGTACAAAACACGATATTTCGGAGAAACAAAGAAAAAGTTAATCAATTGTGCGACTGGCCATACAGTCCACTCAGCCTTGTAGAGCGTCAGTGCCTTGTCATTAATCTCCTCTTTAACTTCCTCCCAAGTGTTATCTTCCAACAAGCCCATCGTGAGAAAGAAAACGCCGATGTAGAATGGCGAGCAAATGAATTGATCGAGCAATATTTTGTGAACAACCGTTTTTAAGGTCCTCTTGGGATAGTAGTAGTCCAGACATTGATACCAATAATGACAAACAATGCCTACCGTGAAGCCCGAGATGCCCATTCGTAATGTACGTGTACGATCCCAGCCTTCGATTTGGCCCGTTAACCGCTCGTATGACTGCTCCATAGTATCGCCAAGCATGCTTAAGCTAATAGAGATGCCCAGGTTCGTAAAGAGCAGGAATTTTTTACTGAATGCGACATTGTGCCAGCGGCTGAGTATCGTCTGCACTTTCTGCCACCGTTCACGATTTCGCATTGACATGCTGTTTACAAGCGGAATGGGCAACAGCCCATATAGCCAACATGAACAGAGTTAATTTAACAAAATAGTTTAAGCTGTTTTGACATTTTCAGTCTTTATTGCTTTGAAGTTTGAAATAAAATTTGAAGCGAATTTAGTAAGTTCTATTGGACGGCGTTCACGAATTCCACTTTTAGATTAAATATATACTATATTAATAATAATGTTTAATAGTTGAAAGCATTTAATTCACATTACAATTTCAACCAAACGATTGTAGAATTTAAATAATAATCGCATTAATGTGTTTCAGTGGAAAAACGCAAACAAAAACACAGAATCCGATTTGTTATCATTAGGGTACCTCAACATTTAGATAAATCAAAAAATTTTGAAAAAAACTCTTTTTATGAATAAAATGCTGTATATTGAAAGATAAAAATCTTCTATATTATGTATAATCTTATTTATATTAATAAAATAGGTAAATACTTATGAAATATGTAACAAGTGTGCTTTTAACTAGTGTTAATTTCCTTTGCTCAAGGGATTACACTTTCTGCATAATGTCTAACTTTTTTTTTGAAAGAAAGTCGCAAGAAAAGAAAAAGAAATCCGACTTGACGGCATTTATCTTTTCAAAACACAAAAAAGCAAAGAAATCAATTTAACGGCATCAAAACAAATGAGTTTTGCCCGGATTCAGTAAGGTTCGGTCGAGCGACAAATATGTTGTGGAAGTGGGATATACTTGGTTGTATATAAAAAGGGTTAAGTTCGCCAGGGGGCTATGTGAGAGCAGCCTTGTTGGGAATTCGAATAATACCGCATTTGGCACATGTTGCGCCAGCTCGACTGGTTTCCATTTGGCCTGGTGGGGGTGCTTTATTTGCGTGTCGCTGAGTTGATTTCGGCAAATCATTTGCACGCGATTCCCAATACTTTTGACAGTCCCACCAACCGCAGCCCTTCGCCCTGGGGAAATCATCGTTCATACATATGGATTGTACCCGTGCGCTCGACCGAACCAGCAACGGACAGAGCTACTGAATTGAAAAATATTTACGGCATTCTACATTTTACGCTAAAATCCAATTTTATTTTTATATGTCGTCGAAAATCCGCCATAAAACGTACCCACACAGTCGTGATCCGTTTGTCAGACGGTAGCCGGCCGAGCCTGGAGTTCCGTTCCCAGCCCATTCTCCTATGCCCGCCAATTGAAAAGCAGGCGCCGTAAATTCGGCTTTGCATTTTATTTGCATTTGGTGCCGCAGATGAGCTTTAGTTTTTCCAGATTCCCCGCGCAGGGTAAGGGGAGCCTTCTGTTTCCATAGCGCAGCAATATGACAAATGAATTTATTTCGCCCTATTGTTATTGGCGTTATTTGCGTAGGTTAAATATTCCCAATTTGCGAGGTGCCCAATTGTAAGCGCTCATTTGTACTGGTAATGCAATTATTTAATACGTTTTTATGCGTATTTATTTGAATTTCACATTTATTTTGCTCAGAGGGAATATTTACTATAAAAACTTTAAATAAAAGTTTTCTATTACTTTAAAATTGACAATGAAAATGCACTTTTCCTAAAAGGATTACATGCTAGAATTAAGCTTCCAAATATATTGGAAATGCGACCTAATGTTTCTTTTTTATAGACAGCACAAGTTAGCGGTAATTAAATAATTTATTTATTGATTTTCCTCAAAACTTAAATATAGATTCATTCACATTTAATTCAACGTTGCTTTACAGCAGTTTATTTGAACAGACGCAATTATTGTTCTATTGCCAAACATCGTGCTGGATTCTAGCCAAGAATAGAACGCAACAGACTTTCTACTATGGAAACAAAAGTAAATATACTCTACATTTTAAATTAATTATATAGCACGTAATAGTGCTTCAATGAAGAGAACTTAACTGAGCTATATTCTCTTTTCAGCATTCGGTCAAGACAATACACTAGCCTGCGATTTGAGTTGACTGCGTAATTTACACAATTCATCTTCCAATTACTGCTGTCACAATTAAGTCAGGTGAACATAACCACGCACCAATTAAATAACCTGTCAGTCTCAAGAATAGAATGTTAAACATTGAAATAATCAGCATTGAATTAAGCAAATTGTATTCAACTGTAATGCGGCAAGGGTATTTATTATTCGGCACTCGAAAGCTTGTAGTTTTTATACCCTGAGCCCATTGAAGATGGCCAAAAAGGGTATTATGATGATGCGCAAATGTAGAATGAAACTTATTCAGCCAAATAAGGTTCATTTTCTGGCCAAGTAGAGTAAAAGTCCGCATTTTCTGCAAGGGTAGCTCACGGCGTGAGTCTCCTTATTTCCTCCAGGCATTCTCCCTCTAGGGATCAACTGCTATCATATATAATCTAATAAGTGCCTAGGAGTTACATAGGTGCTTTCTCTTGTATTCCCATAACGGTTTGCTATTCAGAAATGTAATGAGTTGAATGTTGCGATTCCCTTCGATATCAAAGCTAGAGACACCGAATTAAATCACGAAAGCATTTCCCACAGTAAGGGCTAAGCGAAGAAGCTGTGTATATGTATATATATGATGTAGGGTATCTCCTAGTTGGGCCCTACCGAATAGAGGACTCTTACTTGTTTTCTGGTTGCTTTTGTTATTGTTTCGACCGTTCCGCTCCAAATATTTTTTGGCACTGAGCTTTGAATGTTGTCCGTGTGTGCATTTTAATTGAATTTTTTATTTCAGTCAATGAAAGCAAAAGTTGAATATGCTGGCAACGAAGCGTAAAAAGTGTCATAATCCCATAGTGCTCCCTTTCAACTTCAGTTCGTCCTTCCCCCGGGAGATCGCACTGCGCAATGGTGCTTCACAACTATGGGAAAACTGTCACAGCCATGAGTTTATCATTTGAGTCATTTTTGTTGAGTCGTTACATGGACATACATAGCTAAATGGTTCGCTTGATACGTATATTGTAAAATCACTCCCTAATTGTTTTGCAATCGATTTTGAATGATATTTAGTAGATGGCTTTACGGCTGCGTCTTTTTTCAACATTTGCAATGACTTCGATTTATGCAAATACGATTGAGATGTGTTTTTAATGATATTTCAACACTCAGAGCTTAAAGACGATAAAATTTATAGAAACGAAAATAGTTCGCCCACAGAGAGTCAAAGTATCTTAAAGTTCAATCGATTTAACAATTTAATTCATTAGGCTTTCAGTCCGATAGCACAGCTGTAATATGTTTATGAATACCACCCTCTGTTCTATATTCTATCCAGTGGAGCGCAGGAAAAGACCTTAAAGCTAAATTGACAAACAAGTGCTGTTTTCATTTATTCATTGTATTTAAGTTTTATATTCATTGCTGCTAGGCAAGATTTTTTTGCTAGGCAATATACTTTTAAGGATTTATGTTGGCTTGCGTTGTGTAACATACAGAAGCATACATATTTCTCTCTGTACATGTACATATATACAAGCTGAAAATGTTTTATGCTCGCCTTTTTATGTGCTATGGGCTATGAAAATTATGGATTAGGCTAATAGAATACAAAATCGGGAATAATTTATTTCATAGCTGAAAAAAAAATTTAGAATCAAAAACTCACTAGCAATTCTTCCAAATATACTATTTGCAACTGAGTTCACATGAAAGATTTGCATTAACGGAAGGAATTTTTTTTACAGTCCATCTTAATGTTTAGTTACGGGATACGGTTGCCCTGATTTAAGTGGAGTCCGCGGGGTCAATCAACTTTTGCCACATTTAAATTGCACCGTTGAGGCAAATAAATCAGTTCACAGTAAACGAACAAATTGTCAACATGACGGCAACGCCATTGCAAGTCGTGCCAATTTCGTTAAGGCAAACAAACAGCCAGTCCCACCCGTCCGACGACGACTAACCAAATAAACCACAAGCCAGGCACATTGCACCAGACGCGCCCACATTTTTCCTAGAGCTATTTGAATGGAAGGTGGCTAAAGGCTACCGGTATGCTGGGCACATAAACAAAGCAGCAACAAAATGGCTAGCGACACGTGGAAAGCGCTGGATTGTGAACACCTGATTACCAGCCGGTGAATGTGGCTGTTTATGAGGCGCAAAAATGTCATACATCATGCGACACGTTGTACGAAGAGGGGAGTGGCTGTTGGTATACAAAGCACAGCATCCTACGGGCTGCCCTGCCTCTAATTTAACACATGACAGATGGGAGACGGAATGACGCAACCAGGCAACTGTATTAGATCGGACCGGTACACAGACAGAAAACAGCATTTGAATTTGACGAAAAATCTACAAGCGTCGGGCATCTCCTTGATATCTACCTGTCCTGTCGGACGACGGATAGAATGCAGCGTCATCCTTGTCACCATCCGGCCATTATCACCATCAGCAGCAGCAGCAGCAGCATCAGCACCACCAGCAGGTGGCGTCTGTATTCACTGTTTGGAGCGTGTTAGCCCAAAGTGAATTAAGCCAAAGCCAGAGCATGTGTGCTGGCAATGATATGCTCAAGATACCTTTGTATATATACTTATGTGCATGTGTGAGTGGGTGTGTGTGTGTGCGTGCATGCCAGCACAAGTTGCACATGAAATGTCAACCCATTAAGCACATTTTGCCGATGCTCGTAAATGTGCAGCCCGAAAACTTTTTAATAAATAGTCATGCAGCCAATGAGAAAACTCAGGAACTTAGATAATTCTAAGAAGTTTTAACATTATAAATAAATTATCTAATATATGACAGAGGTTGCATTTAAAAATTGTGGTTCCCGTTTATACAAGACGGTAACGCCTGGTCGGCTATTCTCTTCTAATTCAGTCCTAAATGTTTATTGTATATAAGTATATTACATAAAAATTAAATCATTCATTGTTGCACAAATGACGTATATTTGTGAGCACCATTTCCAAAATTGTCCAAGTTACCGTAGGGAAGCTCCTTATTATCCGCATGTGACGTTTTATTTTTTAAGCCTTGTATGAGGCTGATTACGCGATTAGGTCCATTCATGAACAGATTCATTCACAGAATCGCATAAAACAAGTAAGAAAAGTTAAATGAGCTCTAAAAAATATTGTATATAAAAGCAAAGCCAACTGGAAAAAGCCTTTCGAAAAAGTTGCTAAAGGATCGGCTGGCGATGTAGGGAGTTCTAATTAGAATAATTTCGCGCTGCGCTGCGTACGCTGTCAATGTTGAACATGTTTTACCATCTGACGGGAGGCGAAGGTGGCACCAGGTGCTGCCTGCAGGACATACACTTACCCACACAAATGCAAAGCACAAACAGCCCCCAGTGTATGTTAATTTGTGTGTGTGCGTGAGTATTAGAGTGTGTGTGTAGCATATAAGCTGGTCGACTCTGCTCTGCATGACGAGCACATGTCAGAGCATGAGGTCGGTGAACCTGTCGACGAGACACAGCCTGAACATAATGCACAGTAGCCCCAGCAGCGACATAGCTCACATAGCACACATAACACACACAAAACACACACAGAGCATATGCATATGACACATAATATCTATGTCATACAGTGACGCTTTCGGCGTTTACCTTTAAATTATAAAATGTAATTAATTTGCAAAAGATGTTTCATTCCTTGCCGCTTGACTTTGTACTTTTACTGGCGGCTCTTTGAATTTTCGCTTTATTAATTTCCTTCGTCATTATGTTCAGCAAACAGAAGCCACGTGTGCAGCATTCATCTTTTTCAGCGGCTTAATTTTAATTAATTTTAATGTGTTTTGTTGATTTTGGTATATCAAGCCCGCATTTTGAAATGTTTACTCTTAAATCAGATTTTTTAAAATGTGTGCACTGTAAAAAAAAAAAAATCCTTCATCATTAAAATTGCATTTATTTTTGTACGAGTGGGCCAGCTTCTTTGCTGTTTCCTTCCTGATTCAACTTAACTAGTGTTTTTATTGCTCGAACATCGAAGGTAGTACTCCATTATGTATAGACAAATAATTCGTTTATTGAACTCAAATCTTATATCATATCATTCCCATTGTTTCTTTTGTAGCAGCAATATGCAAATCAGACGGCACATGATTCAAATTCTAAAAAATTAACTGCAAATAATTTGCTTTCGTTCTGTCAACTAGAAACAATTTACCCAAACTTATTTATTCCTTGGCCAATTTTGACGACCGCAAAGTATACGAAGCACAGAAGACATTTCATATCACTCTTGTGGCAATACTTGTTAAATTGTTAAGCTGAATCGCAAATACTTTGTCAGACAATTTTTGTTTATTCCGAAGCAAACACATAAATCAATTTCGAGTTTTTTCAAGTCATACTTCAACATGTTTTGGTTATATTATTGGATTCACAAAAAGCCAAATGTCAACAAAATATGAGCGAAAGCCAAAATTAGAGAAAAGAGCAAAAACCAAATGTGTTGGCAGTTAAAATCTACAAGGACCAACTTGTGTGTGGGTGATGGGAGTGTAAAAGTCGAGTTATCGAACACAGGTATATAACGCATAAGAAAATCAATGTGTAAGGTACACACACACTAGCACACATGCTCAAATGGATTGGCAAAGCGGAGCGGAAACGCCATTTTGTGGCACAAATACTATACAAATTTAATGGGGCGCACATTTTAATGGTTTTTGCTTTAAAACCCAAATTCGCTGCTCTTTGTTTGCATTCCAGTTTTATTTGCTTGTTTGTTTGCGATTTTATTTGTTTTTTTTTTTTTTTTTTTTGCATTTTATGCATATTTCTGATTTAAATTACGCTATTTACTCTGACCACCCTAGTTGTATTTATTTTTTTACTTAACTGCAGGCGCTTATCTCTATACGTTCGAGCAAAGCGTTCTTGTCGGGAGTAACCGAGTAGGAGATACCCTGCGACCAGTGCCTGGCATCCTTCACATACATATATTCAAACTTGTTTCTATAGAGATGCGCACAAAAACGAGCAATCAAGATTCGAGATTGTGGGAACATTTAAGAACTAGTGTATCAACAAATTGAAACGAAGTATTTTTAATCTGGGTATTAAACTCTTAGTTCCAAGTTCCAATGTTCTTGATTTTGAGGATATATTGATATTAATTTATCATCATTAGCCATCCATTTTGGGATCGATGCGCTCAATCAGACGAAAAACAGACTAACATAGCTAGTCTGGTCAGGTATTATCATTTCTACTTTATGGGTTTGGATATGCCTTTTTCAGCCGTTAATTCCTTACTGTCATACTGTATTATTAATAGGTACAGGGTATGAAAATGAATCCCGGATTTTCTGGTCAGTGAATAGTAAAAAACTCTCCGTTGTTGTTTGCGTTTCTTTTGTTTGACCCTGTGGCTATCTTTGTTCTTGTGTTAAAACTCTTTAAACAGCTGAAGGACAAGTTGTATTTTGTGTCCTTAGCCACGTTTTCATTTCTGCATTTCTACCTATAATTACGTATACGATGAGCAATGTGAAAAGGATAATTAGACGCAGTGACCGCATTGCCCGCTGAAATACTTTCCGCTTCGTATACAACAATGACTAACAATTCTAGGGCGTATGATGGCAATTAAAAAAATGTGAGATAGACTATTAAAAAAATGTAAGCGCAGGTCTGCGGTTTGTGACATTGATTTAAAAAACGAACCTAGCATTTTTGTATCGAAATTTCAATAATTGTCTAATTAGCTATAAGCTCATTTAAAAGCTATAATTTTAACTAAATATGTGCTCATACAAATTAAAGAAAACTTTAATAATTACAAGCTGTTTTTCAATAGAAAGAGGCAAAAATTATCATTATTGCCTTAAATTTTTAAGCTCTTACGGCTGGGACGTGTGTTTGGTTATATTATGTTTAGTTAGTTTACATTTTAGTCAGTCTGCTGGTAAGTTAGAAGGAATATAAGGGGTAAGGAAGAGAAGGACTTCCACAAAATAAATTTAACTAGCCAGCAATGGAAATCTGTCATTGTCGTCATAGAAGTAAATTTGTATGATTGATTGTAATGAGCTATACCAAAGATTGGCCTCTTCGGGAAAATCAATATGTGTTAAAAAGCTTTGCTTGTAGCTACATATAATTTAAATGTGCACCAGAATTAAGTAATTTGTTACATCCATCTGCAACATTGTTTCTTTTTCATTTTTTTTCTGGACATCGAACGACATCATAGTTTTTTAGAACCTTGTCTTATCCATGCCTCAATGTAGAAAGCCTATACATTTAAATAGTCAACCACAGAAAAATTTCAGAAACGACATTTTTTTTTTGTTATTTTCTAATCTAGTAGTCAATCATTTGAGGAACAGTATTAATTTAATTTTTTTTAAATTACAGTGCATTCCTTTATTTTTCAGAATGTTGGAAGGTAGCAAGATCTCAACTCGCTGTTTGGATGCCCCAAATCGACGTTTGTTCGATTTCAAAACTAAAGAGCCGCTGCTAAGCCTAAGGCCCATTACATATCTAAAACCTGTCTATACGTTTGAATTGGCAAGTGATTTGGAAAAGTGCTTAGATCTGAGCACTGGCACGGCTTCAGAAGAGTTTGAAATGGACTTGTCATTGCCTGATATCAGGCTGAACACATTTGCACCTAACAACAAACTAAAGATATTGCCAGAGAACATTGACTATTCAAAATTGTTGTCGTTTGAGACAGATTCGAGTTTCGATTCGGTGGAACGGCTACCCATAGCAGAACAGGCATGTGTAAGAGGCCACCAAAAGGACTGTGAATTGTACTTTATAGCAGATGTGGATACTGTTTTGAAGGAAGTAATCGTTTCTGATAATAGAGAGCCCCAATCACCGGTGCAACCACGTTCTGGAATATTCAGTGGCCTCTTCAGGAATAGATTACTTTCTACAAGAAGTATGAGAAATTTCTTCGCCGATGCTAATCAAAAGAGGATCGGACTAGTATATCAAGATTGTAGGAAACTATTAACTACCGACGTCGTGAGATTAATTTTGGAACAAATGCAGCAAGATTTGCCACGGAATTTATCTGGTATGTGTAGAGGTTAATTGAATTTGCGCTCAGACTAATGTTTTTATTTAAAAGCCATTTCCAGCACAGACTTAGCAACTACCGCAAAAGTGCATTCAGCTTGGAAAAAAATTAACAATTTTGCTCTTTCGGTATTTGATGAAAATATTAATTATTCTCAACCATTTTGCAAGTCGGAAGAGTTTAACATTCCTGTTCAACATGAGACTGGGGTGATTGATTTTCTCGTAGATAAAAGTCTTAAAAGCTGTAATAGTCCAATAGACAATACAGTGCCTGATAACATGGAGATGGTGTTATTTGATAACCTTTTATCCAAGCCTCATGCAGAGGATCAGGAAATAATCTCACCTAACGAGGAAGTGAATATTTCAGTTCACAACGAAGAATCTGGTAATCCAGTATTCAAAGAATCTGAGAGTGAGTCGGACATTGAACTAGAAAATAGCTCGATTGGTAGAACCGAAAGTACGCTAAAATCTTTTCATGGGATGATTGATCCAATAGCTATTAAGGAAACTGGTATGCAGATATTCCGCGAGCCGACGAAGCTTTTTGTTTTCGATCACTTAAAGCTATGGAAGAAAATAGGTAAATATTTACTAAGACATATCGTAAAGTATTAATTGAATTCTTAGGCGAAGGATGGATTGAAATTTGGAGGCTTCCAGACTCTGGTAACTGTTACATGCTACTCTGGGACAAGAACACAGGTAACCTACTTGTGCATATGCAGGTGGATGGCAAATGGAGCGTTAACTTTTTGACCAAAAGCACCAACAGCTGCCGTTGGGTGTACTACAATTACGCTAACTGTCCAAAAGGAATTCGCGAACCTTTGGGCTGTCGTTTTCGAGATTCAAAAGTAGCATCTCATTTTGTGAGCACTGTGACAAATTGTTCAGATAAAGCCATGTTTAATTAAGTATATTTTGTATTATGTTGTTTGGTGATCCAATGTTATTTTTTTGCACGTTTTCGAAACTCTATTGTACAAATTATGTTAGCTGATAAAATAAAAATCGTTTGGAGCTAATTAAATTATAATTATCTCGTAAGCGAGAAAGAGCAATGACTACTAGAAATTCTACAGTTGACACAGTAATACCGCAGGAGTGCGGTACTAAAAGAAGTATCGATATACCTACCGAAGAGAGCAAATAATAAGAATTGGAACGCTTTGAACTTCCGAGTCCGATAACAGTCCATGGCCACAGTGACATGTTTGCTAGACAGCTGTTTATTGCGATTGGTGGTTGTAGGATAGAGCCGGTCTTCAAGTTCGTTGTCATAACAAGTTGTTGGGTGCATTGATCAAACAAACCCACCGGATTCAGTAAAATGTACAATTTTACAAGCCAATTGCTGCCGCCGTCATGGAATCTGATAAATTGAATGATTTAAATAGGCAAATAAATGAGATCAAGAAGCGCATTTTGTTGGCCGGTGAGTTTTCCTTGATTTGGGTGGTTTTATAACAAGCATTGATTGTATTATGCTTTTGCGTAGAGGGCCAAAAGACAGCCAACGCTGCGGAGTGGCAGAAGCAGAATCGTATAAACTGCGACACTATTGGAACACTGAAAAAGGATATTAAGGAGCTTACCATTAAGGTAAGTCGTCTGCGCCATCCGCTGCAGCGGCCTGTGGTCATCAAGGACACCAGCTCTGAGCCACGCAAAAAGCAGAGTGCCACGACCTCCATTATTGTGGGCAAGGCTTCTTATCCAATTGGAGCCAAGAATGCCGATGATGCCATATTTTTGACTGATCTCAAGATAACTGAGAGTCGTAAACAGATGGATCTACTGCGTCATCGTTTCAAGACTCGACAGCAGCATTTCAGCAGGCTGGTGGAGAAATACCGAGAGCTCCTGGCTAATAAGGAGGCGCAGAGTCAAAACTTAGGTGAGAAGCCACCGGAAACTCTCGAGGAGGACGCTAATCGAAAGGTGAGCATTTCGTTTCTTATAGTACATTATCACTATGGATAAACGCATCTAACAAATTGGGTTTCCTCAGCTTGTTTGTCAGTTGGAGAACGAGATACATCGCACGAATGTACAGTGGATGGAAGCTGAACATATACGCAAGAAGTACCGATCAATCGAAGCATCGCTCATGACTGATGCGGAGCGTTTCGAACGGAGTTTGCGTGAGCTGGAGCATTCACTCAACGAACAAAAGGCGGAGATTGAGCGCCTGCAACAGGTGCACAATGATGCGATTGAAATGCGTGATGCCGCAAAAGTGATACTGCAACGGCAGGAGCAACAGGCCAATCTCTCACAGAAGACGCGCGAGCGTCAAGCTTTGGACTTTCGAAAGCAGGTGGAGGCACGTAAGCTGGAGCTGGAGCGTATTGGTCGGAAGCTGTTCTCCGAGACTAAGACGCTTGTTCATCAGGATAGTGTGGGTTCTAGCTCGGGCGACCAACACACGGCCAAGACGGAGAACGGTGAGGAGGAGCCGGTGTCGCAGCTCGAGAGCGTTACGAGCGACATGGAATCCCTATTTAAGCAGCTGATGGCGGCTTCCGGCGCCACTTCACCCTTTGAGGTCTTTGAGCGCTTTAGCGCCCAAAAGGAGTCGGCTGCACGTCTCACTTATTTACGAAAGGCAGCTGAAGCCGAGAAGGCTAATCTGGAGGCAGAGCGTGAGGCGTTGACAAGCGAGCTGGAGATAGCTAAGTTTTCGGATGTCAAAGAGAGTGAAGTGTAAGAACAACTGCTTAAGGCTTGCCGAATTTAGTTAATTAATTTCTGTGTGCTATACAGAAATCAAGAGGTCATCGAACAAATCAAAAACAATATAGCTGTCCTGGAACAGGAACGTCAGAAGGACACAGATGCCGCTGACAAGTCCATGGGTGTGCTTAAGTATCTCAAGGATCGCATTTGCGAGATGATATTCAAGGTGCAGGAGGTGGACGAGACCAACATCGACATGAAAGAACGTAAGCTGCACATCAGGGTCGCAGAGTTGCCCAACTTTTTGACACATGTTGCCCAGGATGAAGACTTAATTGAGGTAAATAGCAAATCTAATAATACATGCTTAAGCCCTGACGCTTTTGCTTTTATCAGATCCTTAAGTTGAAAATTAAACGCTGTCAAGAGCTTAGCAAACCAGACGATATACCACCACTTGAAATACCTAAACTCAACTTAGAGGAGGATGAGGAAGACGTGTACCAACAGGAGCCACCTAAATCGCCATCAGTGCCCGAGGGCGAGAAGCCGCAGCCCATGCCCATGTGCTACTACAACTTGTTTGCGGGACGTTCACAGCGGGCGGCGGGCACTTCTTCGTCTTCGCCAGAGCAGGTGCCAGCAGTAGGTAAGTGAATGGCTGGACCAAATCAGAAATTCCTGTTGGTATTCTCTAAATTGCAGTGGCAACAGCCGATGATGACAATGAGGTGCCATCTCGCAACTATCTCAAACGCCAATCTGTGCTCATTGTGGACTCGAAGTCACGGCGGAAACCATTCCGACCACCACCCGGTGGCAGGCGCAAGTAGTTTCAGAGAAAAAACGTGGATTAAAATTAATAATTTTAAAATATGCTACTTGTAGTTTGTATTTAACTATATATTTTAAGCTGGAACCCTGGAACCTCTTTGACTTCTGATGATTAATCTTCCCTCTCTAATTAATATTTTCTAAATCATTTTACTAGTGGTAGGTCGAAGTCAATACTATAAGTTTGAAATCGTTTTTGTTCTGCCCGACTTGAATCATACCTTGTACGAGTGCGCCCTTCGGTCGGTTGCGTGTATTCGCGCGAATAAACAAAATTTCGTTTTCAGGCCATACGCCCCCAAAGGTATCCAATATTCGGCGTGTCGAAAATAGCGTTTTCTATTTATTATGTAAATTTTCAATCAAAATGTTCATTTTCATGGTAAAGTTTTGTTTATTTGAATTTTGATACAATTTTTTCGCCTCAGGCGACGGATATGTGACATCCGCTCACGTGCCATGTGACGCTTCAGACGACGGATTGGGTTTCGTCTCAGCAGGTTGTGTGCCAACGAGTTAGGGTGGCTGATAATCAAATCATTTTACCAAATAAATGAAACACATATATAATTTTAAATATGTAATGACAGACAGTACTAACTAAACTTTATCGCGAATCTCATATAAACTGTATTGTAAACAAAAATGAATTGTGTGTGCTGTGAATATTACCAGTAGCGGGATGCGATATGTTTCCGCAATAAATTGAAGTCCCCTTTGTGCGATATAATACTTATCGAAGCATGTCTCGACCATATTTCAGGAAGCTGTCGCTCTGGCTGGATGAATGTCAGCGGCTTCAGCCGAACGACATAACAAATAGCTGTCCAGGCGATGCAGCACGACGAGAAGAGTAAACAATATTTATTGCAGCAATGAGGAGGGACGGACTGACGGCAAATGAAGTGCAAAACGTAACAAAGTACAGACCGCGGCTGTTGCAAGAGAAATAACCTTTCAAAAATTGTCTAAGCCAGTGGAAGTCGGGCTGGGCGGGTCGAGCAAGAGTCCACCCAGCCGACTTTCGTTCTAACTTGCAATAATAAAGCGCAGCGCAGCAGCTGACGACGAGCAATCAACGCCAGACTGGCGAAGGCCACGATACAAGGATGCGCTGGTGGCAGGGTTCAGTGGCGAAGTGCAAACAAAGTCGCTTGATGATCTATTACATGGCCTGTTGGCGGAAATGCACAGCATCGAGTGGGATGAAGGGATGGTATGGCCAGGGATCTGTGTTGTGTATGTCAACTAAATGTCAACAGCGACGGCATCAGGCAAACAGCTATTTGGCAACACAACCACAACCCAGCAACAGTGCTAGATATAATGGAAGCAAAGAGAGGCGAAACTTCTCAACCATGGACAGCATCTCATTCCCTTGGGTTCGGCAAGGTAACCAAGTAATCCAGCCGGCAGACAGAAAAACAAAAGCCTCGCCGTAAGCCGCAGGGTAGAACCAAAGCTTTGGATAAAGAATATTAGGCCCAGTAAGCTGTTGCCTGGTGGCATTGGCCCTGACAACGCAAAGGTTGAAGTATGCACCTTGAGATGTTCAAGGGTAAATAAGTAAGAGTGTTGGGTCGAGAATGACCGACAAGCTGGATACCCTTCTCTTCTTAATCCATCCATCCATTCATTTTTTTTTGATGCATTAAACTTAAAATAAAAACACATCACACATGAAAAGTTTTTTTTTTTTTTTGAGGGTTTAGTAGGTAACGGTACTCAAATACTCAAATATAACTTAAATTTTACAGTTGGATTTTAGCTTTTATGGTATCTGAAGTCGTATTATATGCTCTCTGGGGTCGAAGATGCTTCATTCAAAAGTCAAAATACAGGGAAACTATGCATCGGGCGTTTAGGAATTACGTGTTATACCACGCAGCCATTAATAATACTTAAGAAGGGGTAAATATGTGAAATAGTATACGGAGTTTTTGTAAATTGTGGAAATATTTGAAAACGGTTGTATGACAGCGTTGTCTTTAATTTGTGCGAAAACTCATTGTATACGTTTTTCACACTCTTCACAAAATCAACTCAACTGTGTGGAAATGTGGGTGCAAGATTGTGTTAACGAATGCTTAGTATAAGGTCCGATCAGCTTCAAACTCATTTTGAAAGCTTTGCAAAAGCAAAAAATGTTTGAAAACGCCTTTTGCTGAAAATTTTCCGTTTTTTATCATACCCTTACAAACACAACTTGCGATTATTCCACTCCTCTGAGTAGTTTCTATTTTTTTTTTTTTGGGGGGGGGGGGACCAGTTGAAAAGTTCGAGCTTGCTAAAACACACTACACTTCTGAATTAAAGAGCAAACGTGGCAAAAAAAAGTGTTTGGCAGTGAGACGCTTAATTTGTAATTGGATTGGAAAACCACAGTCAGCTTAATTCACCTGGTGGATGGCACTGCGGCCACACCCAATTTTATAGCAATTAGGCATTTCAATCTTGCAACGCCAGTAAATCAAACGCCCATCGATTGCCAAGCAGCAACTAATTTTATGGCAACCTACCACCCTGATACAGTGCGAGGATGAATACTGGACGGCGATTGAGGTGATGCTGGAGTCGTTCAATAAAACCGCAAAACAATAAATTTAAATTTCTCTGGCGCGAAGTAAAACTTTTTAACAGTGCATAAACTACAACCAACAGAGCGCAGAACTCTGGAAAAAACGTGCGTTTGTGTATGTGTTTATATGTGTGCGCGTGTGTATGTGTGTGTGTGTGTTGGTTTGACAGTCAGGCAAATAAATGAGCGGAAACGGAAACGGTTTGGGTTGCTGCTGGGACGGCCGTGTCGCTGTTTCGCTCTCTACGGTTTCGCCTCGGCCGCGGGCTGCACAACACTGCGAATGATAAATAACGTAATTTCTTTATAACTTTTCATTCAAATTTTCGGAATGCTTTTTGGCCACGCTTGTTGGTAGCACGCCTTTGGGCCACGTTTGGTTCGTTTGGCTGCTTGTTGTTAAGTAAAATAAATTGCGATTCCATGTAATAAAAGTCAATCATAATAATTCAATGACTCATCGTGTTCTTCGCTTCGCTTTCGAGGCCACAATGGTTAGCTGAAACCACTGCCCGCTCCACTTATCTCTACGCTTTACGTACTGTCAGGTCTGTTGCTGATGCGGACACAAAGCAGGTTAAGTCGAAAATGCTTTCAATTGGGTTGGATGCAGCGAACAAACCTTTGTTTACCCTGTATTCTCAAACTTCTCCCTTTTACCCCACACTTGAAAATTTTAAAATTAAAGCACACCAATTTATGAAAGGATAATTCAATCTTTAAGCCGTTTAATTTCTCTTTAGAATGTTGTTCCTAAGAAAATTGCCGGGCAACAGATGTCTTTTTTTTTTACTTTTGAGGTCAGTTAACAAAAGCGCACGTGTGTGGAAATAAATTCCGTAGGTAATTTATTGGGCATCGTAGTGCTTTAGTCGTAACTAAAGCAAGTTGATTTGTTAGAAGGAAATAAAATCCTTGGAAAACAGTCGCCTAACAACTCTCGAATATTGTTAAAGTTTTTGTACATCTTCTACACTTCTGCGAGCTTGCAAAATTATTAAAACAGAAAGTCCTCACAAAAATGTGGTGCACCAGATGTTGCCCGCTCCTTACTAAGTAGCACCGAAAAGGAAGTGTGAAAAAAACGCTAAAAATGTTGGTTCGGCATAAATTTTGTTTAAACATTTCTTGCCCTTCTGTGTTGATTTGCTTTTTTTTTGTGTTGGTTCTTTCTTATGCCAATTGGGTTTTGTGCAAATGAATAAATCATTAATTATACGATATGCTCTTAAAGCACAATCCAAAACAGTTTATATACACATATGTATATATTTTTTTACATAAGAGATTTACAATTAGTAGGTACTCATAAATCTAACCTAAATTTAATTAAGCTATCCATCGAATATCAACCATCCATAAAGCATACAGTATAGTTTGGAAACTCCCTAATGCAAGCGCCTCTCTTTTCGTCAAAGTATGGTAAATCTTCCGGGCATTTACCCATTTGCTGAGATGTCTGATCTTGACAGTATATATATTCGGAGCAACCTGAGTTTATACTAGCGACTAGGGACGAATTGAGATTACCACACCGATCGTACGGACAGCTGTAGGACTCGGGGGTAACACACTTTTGACTCCACCATTGGAAGTGAGTCCCGTGTGGACAGCTGTGCCAAATTCCGAGGACATATTTGGAGCCGCACGTGTAATAACCATGGCAAGTCTGGGCATCTGTAATAAGTTGAATTCCTGAATAGTCATCCTGATAGAAGTCAGTACAAACGGAGACATCCATAGCAGGAGGCGGATAATTGGCAGGCTTATAGCTATTCTCGTTGCTGGGACAATGTTTTGGACGTGTTGTCTGGCAGCGCCCGCTGTTGTAGTTGTAGTAACGAGCAGCTGTACAGGCTCGCCGAATGCCTGTTCCACTTTGACACTCCAAGTAAAGGCCACAGTTCAAGGGGTCGCCCAGGGTCGTACCATTCTGCATATAGCCGCATATGGAAAGAGTCTCCTCTGCACATCCGTTTGCACTTAAAACACATTTCTGCAGCCTGTTGCTAAACACATACCCGCCGGCGCAATAATTCTCTTCAATTTTGCCACCCTCGTCATCACATCGTTTGTATTTACTGCAATCCAACGGGTCAGAAACATACTCTCCTCTCCGTCTCTGGGCGCAAAGTTCCCAATACTGAGGTGCACAACGCACCAGATGCGCCTGCTGGCATGTGCCTGATTGGGCATCGTAAAACAAGCCATTGGGGCATTCTCCTCGAGCCGATAGCTTATTATTTTTGCAGTATCCCCAGCTGTGGCAGTCGCTCGGATCACCTATGTAGCCACTACCGGGCCAGTAGCTGCAAATTTGGTTCATTGCAAGTCCGCACGTTTGCCATAGAGGGACAGCCAAAACGATGGCGTGTAACCACCGGCTGGAAACTAAAATAAGAGATATTTAGTTTTACCCGTGCCCATTGCTCATTTAATTTTGTTTTACCTCTCATACCGCTGCCACTATTTCATTCGGTATTGCCAATAGAACTGAGCGTTGAGTTGTGAATATTCACTGCGTCCCACACGAAGAAGCAGTCTCAAGAACTAATTACTCGTAACTTGTAACATACAATTTTGTTTTTTTTTTTTTTCGTCGCCATTGATAAGAGCCAAAAACAATTGATAAAATGGATTTCCAAATTCGTAGAGTTAAATGAATACGCGTAAAAGCATTTATGAGTATGTATGTCGGCTGATAAGGTCTATACTCAATTGTTTGGGCTACCAACACCATCTCACATGATAACAATGAGTCTGATTTCTTCTTCCCAAGATGAGTATGTCTATACATATATCTATGTGAGCCATTTTAGGAATATTTTAGCCCACTTACCCCATCAAATCTGCATATTTGTGATACTTTAAGAGCTATAAGACTCAAGGAGCCATGTTATCACTAACTCAATTTTTTTTCTGCCATCTGCTAGTGCCATCCATGTGACATTTTCATGTGCAGAGTCTTGCCTGAACTGCACTTCAGTTTCTTACACTAAGCGAGTGGCACAAGTAACGTAATTCAAGCATACCCAAGGAGAACAACAAAAAATTGGAAAAGTACAAAAAAGCGTGGACTAGTCGGCATTGCTCGATAAGCAGATTCCCTGTGGCCAATGCCCAGCTGCCGGCAAATACATTCGGACCTTCATATCTAGTGTTTTTGAACATGTGCTCAAAATTATCCAAAGAAATTATCAATCATTAAAAATAAACTGGAACTTATGAATTTCATGCATCTAACTCTTATTGTTAGTGTCTGAGTCGCGTACATACATATGGACAGGAACATGCTACCCATTCGAGCAATTTACAATGGGTATATGGTATAAAAAACGATGCAAAAGATGCACATCTCGAGTGTGTGGAGCTGGCGCCTTGTCGCCGACGTGCAGCCAATGTAAACTGCTTAGCTTCGGCCCGTTGCGTTTATTGACATTTTATGCTTAAGGACATGTTTAATATCCTCATCGCGCTTTTAATAATACCGCAAGAACGCGTTGCCATCTTATTCCTTAACTGCTTCATGAGGTTATAAAAAAGTATGCATAAGGTTTTTCGCAATCTGTTCTTTTTTAAAAGACATTTGCAACTTTGATCTCTACAAAATTTAATTGTACAACTCAATAGTATTCATTTCTGGTTTGGGAAAGCATCTGTATGTGATTCTATGTGTCCGTGTGTTAGTGTGCGTGTATCGAGAAAAATCAGAAATGACAAGGATGTCGATGGCACTGTGCTTACGTACAAATGGGAGCAGGCTTGGGACACTGGGCCCTTTGCTTTTACCACTTCCGCTGCACAATGCTGCCAGTCCCAGTAGCGGCGCCAGTTTCTTCCGCTTCCGCTTGCCGTACGACATTTATGGAGCTCATCATTCCCTCCATTGCCCGGCTAACTTCTTGCCCTTTACTCGCTATTCAATCAGTGGCTGGCTGCCTTTCACCGGGGTCCCGAGACCTTTCCATACTGCCCGAAATGGCAAATTGCGTGGCTGACTTCGGGCCTCAGGCTCCATATCCTTGTTCGTCTCTGTAATGTCTGTTATGTCCACTCATCCATTCCATTCTTTTATACTGCGTTTTTTTTTTTGCGTGCCTGCATTTTGTGTTCTTTGCTTGGTTGCTTTCGTAATTTTTTCCACATGTTCACGGCTTGAATATTTTATGGGCTTAAGTGCTTTCAGTTAGAGTCCTTTGCATACCCCTGTGCGTTTTGCACCTAACACGATGCTCTGAGAACGCACATAAATTTGTTTGATTAGTTTTCTGCTTTCTCACAGACATATACATTGTTTACTGTTTAGCCAAAGGCCAATTGCAGTTGTTTAGTAGTTATACTCCTAGCCCAACCTGAGGCATATCATTAATTCCACAACAGGACTGTCAAATAAAATATTCAATTGTTTTCCATATATAATTCAAGCCAATCGACGTATTATGTCTACTAAAGTCTGAATTGCTATTATTCAATGTTATTTTTCTTAAACCAAGGTCAACATAATTCATAAGTGTCCAAAAAGGCCCGCAAATGTATATTCCAGTCAGAGTGAAGTATACAAATGAATAAGCTATTTGATAAAATATTTTAAAAATTGTTTTATACCTTGTGTATTCAAAATAAAATAATTTATGTGTTTGTTCGAAGAGGATTACTCTGAGTCGAGTATTTCTACTGTGCCAACTTTATCCCGGCCAAAGGTAAACCTACCAACAGCCAGGAATGAAATGTTCAAGAATAAAGACGTCCCCATCACATGGCCCGCGTAACTCATTTTAATTAGGTTAAATTTGCAATGGAAAGCTAAATGTGCTGCGCAAAGCAAAAAGGATAGCGGCAACTCGGAAAGAGATGAACAGATTGGCCAAAAGAGCATCGGACCCAGTTCGAGCAGGGAGGCAAGGGTCGACTAGCCGCCCTCAACAAACCGAGCAAGCAATTTAAACGAGCGAGTGTTCATAAACAGGAACGAGCTCAATGAGATGCAAAGGACGATAAACATGCCCACAAGCGCCGCAAATGTGCCGCCAGTGAAATAAGGTTAAGATCCCTCGACTCGCCAACTTAAAGGACAAAGCTCGGAAAAGAAACGTTGCAGAAAAAGGTTGCCAAGAAGCAAGAAAGAGAAGTGCAAAAGGAGCCACCAAGTCATATTTTTCAGGGCAACCAACACAATGCGGAGTCTTGGCCAAGCCACGAGTCTGAAAAAAATTATGGGAGCTTTGTTTCAAGCTAAATGCTGTGGTCGGGAGGAGCACACGTTGAAACAGGCGTGGCACGTACTTGGAGTATTTTGGCAAAATTAAAATTTATGAACAGATAAAAATGCGTTAATGGGCACTCGCTGGGGTCAAGGATGCCACTTGGAGAGAGAATTTGGATGTGCGCGTATAGCAGTTTCTAGATGGTGGCAAATAAACGAGACAAGAAAACGTCCACAACTTGAGCCATAAACGCTGCATTTTTATTTCTTACAGATGGGCATCCAAACCACGTTGGGGCAGGACTTTCTAAGTGCCGCACTTGAGGGCTCCTAACAGTGCAAAACATTAAAAGCACAAGAAATGTACCAAAATATTCTAACAAGACCCAGAACACTTTAAGTTTTCAAGTTGATGTCGATGACAAGCCTCTTAACAAGGAATACACCTCGTACAAGGTAATTAATTACATAGGTAACTTTAAGATTTATGTAAAATTTAGCCGAATATCATGAGTTTTTCAGCAATTTCTTCCGCAGTCTCTTGAGCCTTGGCTCTTTTTGTGATTCCACCACAAGGTGTTTATCTTTTTGGCATATTTTTATTGCAGTTTCCTAAGTGCTATATTTAGTAGATACGTGTTGTGTATAACCACGCGCTGCCATTGCTGTTCTACTTCCAGTTGGCCATTATTCTCTACACTTACAGAGTGCTAAAAAATCATATTTTCGCTCTTGCAACAATGTCAAGTTGTCGAGAATATTTTTAAGTGGGGCCTCCGCGCTGTGCCACGGCCAAAGTAACCCGGCACCAAAGACCAAAGACTGCCTAATGGTATTTGCATGTTGTTGTTCAGCTCTCGTCCTTCGCTCAGCTCTCGTTGCCAGTGTCATGCACATGCACAGTGGGCAGAGGCAGACCCGGCCACTTTTCCAGGATGCAAATACCCCTGAGTGGCACTGGGACTGGCCCTGGGCTCGAGTGCCAACATAATGTGCCTGGTTGGCCATCACGTAGCTCAAGCAGGTCGCGTCGCCTATGTCGTTTAATGACCTTTTAAATGTACCTCTAATTATGTTTACGTGCGTACGTTTCTACCGACGACCAAAAATGTTAGCACGAATGACTGAATTTTAAAGCGTATTATTTAGGTTCACTTTGTATCTGGCTGACCCAAATCCATGTGTTGACTCCATGTTAATTATGTAACTTTTGGGGCACTCTTCGCGTCAGTTTGACGTGCCTGCTGATGTAGGTGCCATCTTCATATCGCGTTAAAGTTTAATGTCTGGTAAATGTATGAGCCAACATAGCAAAGGGCTCCTCATGGCGCTGCTTTTTGGTCTTATATTTATAAATTACATCAGCAAAGCCAAATGTGTCCAAGATGTAAAGTTCCCCAAAGGTTTCGAATAAGAAATGAATGCGTGTGTGAAACAGCAATTGAAAGTTTTTGTCATTAAACTTTGTGAGTGTTTCCCATATTAATCGTTTTTGGCACGAGGTCGTCTACATCTGGCATTCCCTTGCCGAAATTGATATAACATATTACAGCAATGTCTAGTTATATATTTAGTTCAGCTTGACATCATTATAAATTATTCAGATTAATGGGGCTGCCTGGCACATTTTAATTCGCTTTCCTGTATTAATATTAATTACTTTTAAGGGTTCTCTGCCACATCCTGCACACTGCATTTTTTTTAAATAAATTCGCATATAGCCCTGAAGGGGTAATTAATACTGCTCTGAACAGCAGCTGCGATGGAGCCAAAGGATGAAGGGCTTATAGCTGGGCGTGCCACGATGATATACAGGGTTTTAATAACACCCAAAGCAATGGACGGTCTAGACGTGCAGCTGGCATGCATTCAATTATCAATCTATAAAAATGCTTTCGACATTTTTATTGAAAATTCCTGAAACTAAAGCGCAACGCCGTCAAAATGTGGTTGGATTGGATTTGCCCCGACTCTGTTCGGATATTTATTGCAAGGACAACAAAATCTTTAATTAAAGTGCAAACTTATTTTGAACTTGCGACGGCAACGAGACTGCAAATTGATTTTCTCAAATGGAATTTGGACAAGGGCAAAAGTGGTGTGCTTGCTTTCGTTACATGACAGTTTGACGGCTAATTAGAAATGCAGGCGGAATGTAGATTATTCATTTAATTGAGTCATACCATGATTATCATCCAGTGTTGGATATAAGTGTAATTGCTCGAACGACATTCTTTTCGAAGAAATGTCGTTGATATTTTTTGAAAAAGAGTTGTAACAAAGCAGAAGGCTTCACATTTTTTTTCATTTCACCTTCACTCGCCTTTGCACCCCTCACCTAGGCATTATTCAGGGTATACAACCATGTGCAGTACGAAGGCGCCCGATATGTTTTTCAAAGAAATGCATGAAAAAGGAAAAGCAGCTTCAAAATGACTGAAAGTGGGCCTGTAATGAGGAAAACTCATTTGGGTAAAAGCACAGGGGCAAAGGGGTCTACCATTAAAAAGCATTATAATAAATACTTATCACAGTATAGGAGGAGCCACAAAACGCAGCTACGGCGTTGTCGCATATATACGTGCCACGCCCCCATTTCGCCCATATGTGTGGGGAGCAAATGTCGTAAAACAAATGTAAAGTGAAATTGCTTTTGCCGCTGCCCGCGACCTGCTGGCTTCATTCCCCACAAATGAACGACACACAGCCTTACATATATGTACGTGTGTGTGGGTGTCCGTGTGTCTGTGTGTGGGATGTGTGTGCGTGTCGACAGACGGATGCGGAAACGGATGTGAAAAGTGCAGTCATAAATGCGCTGCCTGCCTTTGTATAAGACTTTAATAATTGTCGAGTTAGTGAGCACACGAGGCACTGAAAACGATGCCGACGCCGACGCCGACGCCAACACGAAAAAGATGAAAATTTCAAATTCGCGTATTTTCTTTTATTTTATGACCATTCTTCTTATGTATTTTTTTTTTTGGCTCCCGCTTCCTCGACAGCTGTTCCCAAGGGTCTTTGCCTTCTAATTATGACAAATGCTAAAATATTGCGCATGTGTATATGTGTATGCGGGTGTGTGTTTGTTTGTTTGCCCAAAGGAAATGTATGTCAGCGTGTGTGGCGTTTGGGATTTCTGATTTTTTATTGTGCGCGTTTTTTTGTTCGTATTTCAATTAAATCCCAAAGTAAATATTTAAATCCGTTTCAAATCCGTACACGTCATCTAAATCAAATCCTTATTGTCGACAATTTTTATACCCTGAACCCATTAAAAATGGGTATAAGGGTATATTGTATTTGTGCAAAATCCAAATGTATGTAACAGGCAGAAGGAAGCATTACCGACCCCATAAAGTATATATATTCTTGATCAGCATAAATAGCCGAGTCGATCTAGCCATGTCCGTCTGTCTGTCCGTCCGTCCGTCCGTCCGTCCGTATGTATGAACGCAAGGATCTCAGAACCTAAAAGAGCTAGAGACTGAAATTTTAGATATAGGTGCTCCTAGCTCCCGCGCAGATCGAGTTTATTTCCGATAATCGATAACTTACTCCGTTTCCAAGCAATCGATCAAAATCGATATCGATATCGTGTTTTTTTGGGCAATTTTGGTAAATAATAAGAGCTAGAGTCACCAAACTTGACATATAGCTTCTAAAATAGAATATATATATGCATTTGATATTGTAAGAAGAGGGTTCAGGGTATCCCCTAGTCGGGAGCTCCCGACTGGAACCTCTTACTTGTTTTATCATAAGTTCTTAATTCAAAATTTTGACCCAAATCCACAAAATAGCAAGGGGTTACATCAGGTTTTTTTTTTTTCAAAATCGAGGTTGGTGCGAAAATCGAAACTTTTTCGATGATTTTTTTTTAATATCTCGGGTAATAGCTCCGCGGGAGATATGACGTTCCAAAACGACAGAACTCCACGCGGAGATATGACCTTCCAAATCATAACGATTTTTTGCAAAATCGAGGTCGGTGCGAAAATCGAAACTTTTTCGATGATTTTTTTTAATATCTCGGGTAATAGCACCGCGGGAGATATGACGTTCTAAAACGACAGAACTCCACGCGGAGATATGACCTTCCAAATCATAACGATTTTTTGCAAAATCGATGTCGGTGCGAAAATTTTTGAATGCGTACGGATCCCTACCATCAATTGGCATTCAAACAAATTAATTATCGATGGGTTGAAAAATGTTGTTGACAACAACCCATTCGTTCGTAAATTCAACCTCTTTGATGATTTTTTGGAATATTTCCGTCATTTCCGTCATCAAATAATGTCCGATTTTACAATTTCATACCATTTTTGACTCGTAAGGATCAGTTCTAACGATTGGCATCAAAAAAAAGGAAATCCAAAATTTTGACCCAAATCGACAAAATGGTCGGTGGCAGCTCTGCCATAATATACATA